GCCGAGTTCTAAGGAGATTGCCTTGGACTCGCCGAGTCCGTTCATCCACTCGCCGAGTCCCATGAACTTCCAGCACAATGGCTTAGTCCAGAACGTTGGGTCACTCCCTGGGACCCCCTTAAAACCTTTCCACACTCAACTGGGTTCTTTTGACCCTCAACAGAAAGGGCAAAACCCTTAGAATCGCCGAGTTGGTCACGTCCATACCCTAAATCTTTGCTTTCTGATGTACATCCTTTGATCAAAAGATAGATCCAAGCTTCTACAATCGATCTAACACGTAAAGTTACAACCTTTACGTGCTTGCATGGGACTTTGAGCTCAAAAGGACATAAAACAAGCTCATATGGCACATGGAACCTTTCATGGGTGCAAAAGCAACCCAAATCTGCCTAGTGACTCTCTGAATGATGTCATTCAGAAGCTCAAACCCCCAACCACGTTTGCAAACATGGTTGGCTACCAAAATGGCTCATAAAAGCCCTAAATCTTCCCAAAGAGGAATCTAACAAATGAAAGAGCAAGGTATAGACTTTATACCTTCTGAAGACGGCAAATGATGCTCACAACTGAATCCCTCTAGCCTCCTCTTGATCCTTCAAGCTTTCCTTCTTCCTTGAACCACAAAATCACCAAGATCACTCTAAATGCCTTAAAACTCTTCAATAACGGCTAGGGTTTGCTATGGGGGTCTTCTGGGAGTAAATGGGACGAAGGAGGCCGAGTTAAGGTGTTTAAATAGGGTGCACACCCCTGAATTAGGGTTTTTGTCCAAACAGGGTCTACTCGCCGAGTCCGGGGACCCGACTCGCCGAGTACATCACTTAAACCCCGCGTCCCATCCCGCTTCTACTCGGCGAGTTGGTCCTTCAACTCGCCGAGTCCAAGACCCAAAATGCTAAACATTTAAAGATTTGATAAAAGAATACGTACCAAGAACCAGGTGTTACACAATTCCTTAGGTCAATCCTTAGGAATGAATGAATGAAGGATAGTTGATTCTTAGGGTAAAACCTTAAGAAATAAAGAAGATAATGGGGATGGGTAATTGGGTTGATTGTTTGATGATTGAATATAATAATTGTATTATTGTGGGTTGAAAACCCTATATGCTCACCAGGCTCCCAAGCCTGACCCACTCAGTTTTTCTTTGTATTACAGGAAGTGGCTCAAGAGCATAAGTTGGTTGACATGACGAGAGATAATGGATTATAGGCCAGTAGTTATAAATAACTGTTGTAAGGTCTATTTTGATCCGTTTATGCTTTTGGTCTGTATTTGGAACATGACATCCCGAGATTTTGTTATATAATGAAAATACATTTCTTAAAAGAAATGCTTTTGATATAAATTCTTAACACATTTTGTTTTGGGAACAAATTCCGCAACTGTTTTCTTTAAACGATTACTCTGATTTTAAAACAAAGCATAAACAAATCGGTCTTTTCTGGTCGTGAAAATGGGATGTCACAGGGTGCAAACCCTAAAAATTAGGGTTTTCTCACTCAGATCCAACTCGTCGATTTCAGTCCACCAACTCGTCGAGTTGGCTCTAAAACCGCACGACCCATCTCAGTCTCTACTCGACGGGTTGGGACCTCCAACTCGTTGAGTTGCCCCGACAATATGCATAAAATAGACATTTAAATTTATCAGTGGGAGTCGGGATGTTACAATACTAAACTTCTTAATATACATACGATGCTTCTAATAATAAAGAGAATGATGGTATTCAAAAATGTAAATCTGATGTCAATGATGCAGAAGACGAACAAGGAAGTGACAACATATGAGTTAATTTATGTTATTTCTATAAAGTTAGATTATGTTTTTTTTGGAATGTTTCCTTATTATTTTGATTGATATTTACAATTAGGTTGATCATGGTAATATTGAAAATTATATTTGTAACACGCCTATCTCTATTTCTACTTTACAAGATTGTGAAGATAGTCAGGTAAGTTACAAACTATTGTTTATATTTTCTATTTTTCTTATGATATGAAACTTTTCTTAATTCAACAATTATTATTAGTTTTTCTTTTATATTATGTTTATTTCTCATAAATAATGATTCTTATGGTCGTGTTTGTATTTATTCAATTAGGCGTATTCTACTGCTATTGAAGTTGATTCTTCGGCTTAATCGTCTATCAGATCCTCATTAACACCAAATAAGCGTTGGCTTCCACAATTGTGAGAGAAGTACTGACTTTAAAGTAATTAAACATTAGATTTTAGTTTTTCTGTTTTTAACTTAATTTCGTTTAATTGTGTGTTAATCGCTTGCTATGCTTTTTATTATATTTTATTTTAATTATTTTTTTCATTCATTTTGTTTATTTGGATAGATTTGTCTATTTACAATTTTCATGTATGCGGTGGATCTTTTGTGTAAACCAGAAAAGAAGTTTTCTTTTGTATAAGTGGGAAGTGAAAATTATATTTTCAAAAAAATTTAACCTACAATAATGAGAAATATATAATTTTGGTATTTAATGAAGATTTTACTTTGATTATTTTTTTTATACGAGTAACTAAGCAACTTTACGTGACAGCATCTCGCGTAACCTGTCCTGCAAGACTTCGCTCTTATAATGACAACGACAAATATGCTAACATCATGATACAAAATGAAGTTTACAAAGAAGTTTTATATAATTGATCATTACATGGAAATAACAAAATTCAATGATGGATTTCAACAACAATAATTTAGTATTATTTTGACATTGAAGTAACAATGTTTTGAGTGGTGTTTTAATTAATTTATGTGGATTGCAATGTGTGTTAATCGATTGCTATTCTTTTTATTTTATTGTGTTTTAATGTTTTTTTTTCATTCATATGTAATGTTACTTCCTTTTTTTATAGCAAGAAGAGTTTATTTCACGGTCACTAGCGACACTTTCTTATACTATAACAACTAGGGATAAGCGTATGACCTGCATAACCGGACCGGATCGGAAAAAAAAAACTGAAACTGAACCCGGACCGAACCAAAATACATCTAACCAGGCCGGTTGCTGGTTTCAAATTTTAAGAAAATCCGGTTTTCGGATTAGGACCAGACCGGACCCGTAAGTTCTGGAAGTTGTGAATTTAACCGTGTGTGGTGATTTTAGTGTCACCATGTCATTTTATGTAACTAGAATTAGCATGTAAGCTAATTGGCTTCTTAATTTGTTTTCTAATATGTGTACGGGGTTGGTGCGGAGTGCACGCATGTATAAGATCAAATTAGTAGCCGGTTCGACGACTAGTCGGGGGTCCGGGGGCAGCGCCCCTGGGTCCGGGGTTTCCAAAGGGGCAGCGCCCCTTTAGCGGGGTCTAGGGGCAGCGCCCCTAGCGGGGTCCAAGGGGCAGAGCCCCTGGTTGGGGTCCCGCGGGGTTTGGGGCAGCGCCCCAAAACCTCTCTGAATTTTACATATGGGTAAATAGTGGGATATTCCGATTCTTGAGGGTGATTATGGTAAAACTAACGAAACTCGTAAGTTTTGGTAACCCTAAATCCTCACTAAAATCCGGATTACCCTGACTTGCTTCCAAAGGAATCCATAGCGGCCCAACCCTAATGAAACCCTAATATCGTTTATTATATAAACGGCTCTTCTTTTCAGAAGAGATACATGATCTTAAGCTCTCGTTTTTCATCATACTTTCACATAATCCTCTAGCATATTGGCTTACGATTTCTGTGCCTAGAATCGTAAGTGTCTACTTGGATTATCCTAGGCTGAATTTCTTGTAACCCATACATAGGGTAGAAATATCAGTTCAGAAAGTGATATCACGATCCAAGTTGGTATCCAGATCTCCACCACAAACCCTAAATTTCCCTACAAACCGGGCCTTACCGGAATTGAAGGGTTTTTTATGGTGCAAATTATTGACGCTATATATTATATAATCATAAGAATTAAAATTATAATAATTCATACTTTAAGTCGAAATTAACACAAATGCAATAATCCTTTTGTCAAAAAGAAAACAAAAAATCTGTAACCGATTTCTTTATATTAGAAAACTTTCATTTACGGTGACACTTGCATTTGGATCTTAATTTTTCCATAACACAAATTACAATATGTATAGTAGTTTTTTTTTGTTTAATCATGAAAGCCCAATAAAATGATAAATAGTCCAACAAATATGGAGCCCAACAAAATGATAAAAAAGTCAAGCAACTTATAATCGTTCAAAACCGAAACCGAACCTGCAATATCCGTGACATATCCAGAGCCGACCCACCCTAAACCGATCTGGTTTTCGGTCTTCGAACCGAACCCAACCTGTCGCTCATTCCTACTAATACCTGTCCTGTCATTTCTTTTATTTTTTGATATATTGATTCTTTTAAGTCTGTTATTTTTTTTTTGTACATAATTGATTTTCTCAATTGATTGACACCAAAATAGCTATAATACATGTGAAATTGTAAGTTAACAACAAATCGTTTGACTTTTGAAAAGTCAAAACCCGAAAACTCTTTCCGAAGCTACTTTTTCCCCTGATATTGAAGTTGTTTTGTAATATATTTTACTTCTTTTACATTTTAAATAAATGTGTTTTTGTCGTTTAAAAGTAGATTATATTTGTTGTTCCAAAAAACCACATAAAAGTAAGATGTTATAAAAGGAAATAAAATTAATACGTTTTTTACATCGGTCAAGACACAAAGTCCCTCTAGCAACAATTAGAATCTACATCTCAACAAATGTGCCCAATTCAACCGATATATTTAATGTTAATATCTTAATATATGAATATTTTATAATAGCATATGATATAATATAAAAACTTGTAATACGGTTGCCCATCACTCAATTTACAAACTTGGTTAATGTCTTGTTAGTGTAGAATTCCTTTGATAAAAACAAAAGTCAACAGTAGGAAGTTGGTGATCGTAACTGTTAAAAGGATTTAGTTGAAACAAATATCTTGTTACAAAAGAATTGACAAAAAACAAAGAACTAAAGAATCTCATAAAACAAATTACAGTAAACTGTTAAAACGTCAATCTCATGTTAACCGCTTCCTATTTTCAAACAACCGTTGATCCTTTTTTTTTTCATCATGTATATCCAACTACAACATAATCATCTTCATTCACATAACCCCATCTTTTTACTCCACCTGCTCACCAATCAAATCCAACCCCACCAACAAAAACGACAACCCTTGAAACAACAAGAAGTAAAAATGTATCCCTTGAGCCGATAAAAGACTTCTACAAGAAGCTGTCAACAGAAGAAAAGCCAACATCAATTCCTTTTTATACATCCTATTATGCTTCTTCTTCTTCAACATTCTCTCTTCTTGCAAAGCCTCCGGTGACTCCTCCTCCTCCTGGTCCTCCGCCGCCAGGTCGCCGGAGGAGGAGCGGCCGGATTTCTTGGTGACCACCCACTCGTAGGCACTTCCAAGCTGGAAAAGGCCGGAGATCATGGCATTGAATTTGGTGACTGACATTGTGTTTTCAAAAAGAAGGTAAGGGACTAAGAAGGGGAATGATTTAGGGGATGGGAGGATGTTGAGGAATGACATGGTGGCAGGGATGTAACAGACCACCCATGCAGGAAGTGTGGCTTCTGGTATGAACATTGTCATGGGAAGAATTATGCAAAAGAGAGTGAATGAATAGAAGGGTAGGATTAGTTTTCTTAATAGGAAGAATAGGAATATTAAGTTCAATTTCTTCCAAATGCTAATCTGCATACGTAATAAGTTGCATAGTTGTGGTTAGGATTAGATGCAAGAAATAACAACTTGTTTTTATTTATTTCTTTTACAACATTGTACTTTGAAAAATCTACCTAATTATAGAATGTCATCGAAAAAGTTGAAAATACAATGTTGTAATAGGAAGAAATGAAGGTAGGATGCTATCTAAATGAATAAACTAAAAGTATGTTACTATTTCTTGAATTTAATCCCAAATAGGTTTGTACTTCCATTTATTCGTTTATAATATCATCCTACTCAAAACAAAAAATGAAACTATAATGCTACAATGATGTAATATGAAGAAATGAAAGTAGGATGCTATAAAAAAACATGATAAAATGGAAGTAGATTGCTATTTTTTGCATTTATGTACCTTCGATTTGATAATGTCTGGCAAGCAAAGCCTAAACAACTGCATAGGCCCGGAATGCCATCTATGTTGTTGTTTCCTATAAGCTTCATACGATTCGGGCAACTCACATTGACACTAAAAGTTAAAAAAAAATTAATTAAACAATTGTCACCCAACAAACTATTTAAAGTTTAGGGCCCACACAACAGTCTTGTACTGCATTTGGCATGATGTGATTGAGTGAGTGTGATGTCAATGGGACAAAAACTGCAATTCGTTGTCCCGCTCTTACCCCAAAAGGTGGAATAAGATGTGTGAAAAGACGAAAATACACTTTTGTCGTTGAAAATACCTCAACATCATTAAGAAAGGTCATTTTCCATCCATGAAGATGAGCTCGAACAGCAATGTCCATGTCCTCCACAGTTGTTCTTTCCAACCACCCACCGGAATCTTCCAACGCCTTAATCCGCCACACTCCGGCAGTCCCATTAAACCCAAAAAAGTTCAAGAAAATCCCGTTCACTTGCTGTTCCACTTCAAAATGAAATGCTAAATTTATATGTTGCAATCTTGTTAACAGATTCTCATCCTTGTTCACAAATGACCATCTTGCTTGTACCAATCCTAATTCTTCATTATCCTTAAAACCAAAATAAAGAAATTAGAATAATGGAATCAGAATCACACACACATACTGAAGCACCAAGAAACACACAGAGATGACGTACCTTGAAATGGGGAACTGTTCTTGTGAGGAAATCGGGTGTGGGTTGGAAATCAGCATCAAAGATGACGACAAATTCATAATCTTTGACATAACTACAATTCATGGCGGATTTGAGATTACCGGCTTTATAACCTTCTCTATTAACCCTATGTCTGTAAACAATATTAACGCCATCTTCATTCCATTTATGGACCTCCTCTTTGATCAACATATGGGTTATCGGGTCATCAGAATCATCAAGAACTTGTATCAAAATCCTCGATTTTGGCCAATCCAATTTACAAATTGCCCCAATTGATTGCTGATACACCTGTTGTATTCACAAAGAAAATTCCAAAATCTTTTACATAAAAAAACAAAACTTCCATTATGGGCCATTCCAAATTTTGAGAAAAGTTTGGAAAATTTCCAAAGTTTTCAAGAATTCAAGCTTTTTTTTTAAACAAATCGGCAAGTGGGAGATTTGAAAATTAAAGAAAGATTACCTCTTTTTCGTTACACATGGGAATTTGGACAAGAACCATGGGGAAAAACCCATCGTTGTCACGGGATTCAACATCGGCGAGGATTTGTTTGGCGACGGGTTTGATCTTCTTGAATCGGATCCAAAAACAACCCACACAGAGCACTAATCTATCCAAACTCTGTATAAGAAACAGATAAATACAAGTGTTTGCCAATAACTGGAGCGGTGGAGCAAGATACTCGACCCGAATCGAGACCCATTTAGAATAAATCGAGTTGAACAAACCAGTAAACGCAACAGGGTTCGTTAATGTATACAAATACTGCAAATGTAGATCCGGAGCTCCGAAATGCCAGCCTTTGTAGTAAGCAGCTACCTCAAACCCTAGTAACACAACGGAGACCCAAAGAAACACTTTTATACAGGAATAAAACCGCGTAGATGTTCTCATTGGTCTTTCGGAGTCGACATCTGAGTCGGTGTGGCCGGAGGAGAGACGGCGACGTACGGCAGTCACGACGGAGAGCGTGGCGGAGGCAATGGAGGTGAGACAACCGGCGGTGCGGTGGGCTTTGAGGAGTAAAACCCACGTGAGCTGCTTAGCGTTCTTGTTACGACCACGACCTTTGTGAAGGAAATCGTCCTTGGTGGGGCTTTCAAGCTCCACCATTGACCAGTTGTTTGGGTTCTCCATTTTAACGACCACCGGAGTTCCCCGATGGGTCTCTTTCCCCCACCAATAGAACGACGTCGGAGCCATTTCCTTGACAACCCAGTACCCACCAGAATTTTCAAGATTTGAAAAAAAGTTGTTGGGTTTATATGGATTATTTACACAGATAACGGAAAAGATTCAAAAGACGCCATTTTTGCAGATGGAATTGAGAAACGAAAACGGATGATGAGATGGATGTTGTTACAGCATTTGGGTTTTGAAGGTTTTGATTTGTAGAGAGAGAAAGAAACGATTGTGTAAATTCGAAGAAGACGATGTGTAGAAAAGGAAAAGCTGTTTGATTTGTTGATTTACAGCTTGCATCTTGCAGTGGCACGCTGTGAATTAAACATATAGTGTGTGTGAATGTGATTGAATGAAAAAAAAAGGAAAAAAAAACACAAAAAGAGACAGCGAGGTGTTGATTAGTCTTTATGACGATGATGATTACGACTGATTAACAACGTTAAGAAAGATTAGAAACACATTTGAAAAAGGAAATTTAATTATGTAAGAACGGTGTTGATTTGATAATTTGAAATTAATAAATCCAAAATCCAAAAATATAAGAATTTTAGGATATGGGAATTATTCCAAATAAGAGATGAGATGGTGATTTGTTTTTGCTTGAGTCGTAAGTGTTGACTGACCGAGTAGCCTCGCATAATTTGCGGTCACCCAAGACAAGTACATCTGGCCACAACATACTTCCAATATTTTTTTCTTTTTCTTTTCTTTCTAATTAATAATTAATGTCTCGTAGTTTATATTTTATAACAATTTATACTATATATATTAAAACTAGGCCGAATGCCGAATTCCCTATGACTTTGTCTATGGGCCCAAATTGTTCCATATATATATATATATATATATATATATATATATATATATATATATATATATATATATATATATATATAGATGAAGAAAAATATGTCATATATCAAACCACTCTATTTAAGTCTATGAAGTACACGTAGAAAGATCAGATAATAAGACATTCTGAAATCACTGATAATACTGAGCAACACAATATGTAGAAACTGTAATAAATAAGATACCCATAAGAATATGGTTTCAAAGAATACATTCGATTGTTAGTGTACATTTACTTTTTGATTAATATTTTCTCTGATCAAGATACACAAAATTTAATCTTAGGATAATTAATTAATAACACTTTCAATCTTGGCAGAGAAAGAAAATGGAAATACTAAGTATAAGAATTGTTTAAAATCAATATGTATCCAAAAAAATGAAGTCTACTTCTATTTGACAAGTTTGACAAAAAAAAAAACAAATTTAGAAGTTATTAATGGCTATATATAAGTTATAACTGTTTTTGACAGGATCCTGAAAAATTATCATACACATCTTAAAAAATCACCTATACAACAACCTTTTGATTGAACCCTATATGCCAATTTTTCTTACTGCATCTTACCATTTTATGTTAAAATAGTCCATTTTTGTTAATTACAAATGAATAATCAACCAATATATTAACATGTTTCATATAACGAAATTAACAAAATTATCATACATTCGACAGAACTTAAGATCATGACATAATCTTGTTCGTTAACATATTAACCAGTTCTTTTATATAGGAATCTAACCATATATATATTTTTTTAAATTCATGTCTAAATATTGCAAAATATTATTTTAGTATGAGATTTCAAACAAGTAGGTTAGATTAGCATCAATTGTTAACATAACATCACTAACATAAAATTTATGTGGACCTTTAATATCCACAAAGATTTACCAAATACCCAATTTCAAACTCTAGATATTAGATGATGTAATTTCATTACAACTTGGCTATCTTGAATGACACTTTATGCGACATACTCATAATTTCACGAAACCGTGTCGCAAGTCATACAATAATGATTCCCTTGATATGTGCGACTTTGTGTCGGCTTGGTGAGTTCACAACCAAGTTTCTTGGTCCCTCAAGTTTGTCATTTTATATGTTTCAAACCGATAATAACATCCTAATTTGGTTGGGAGTATTAGTGACCAAAGTACATCTTTTGTTACACATTTTACTATATTTGGATGCATCACATACTTTCAAACTTATTTTATGAGTTCATTTTATGTACACTTTTAAATAATGTATGTTCTTTATATATAACACACACACTTGAAGATTAAACATACATACTTGTACATTTTCTTGTAACTATTTTCAAACTTCACATTTCATTTGTTGTCCCTTATTTGACATAAGAAGTACACAAATAACACTCACATAAACATGTCCCCTATTTGACACAAGAAATACAAAAATAACATGAGTATATTCACTTCAAAGACCCTTATCAAGATTGTCATGGGTAAAAAAGACATACCACATAATCCGATTTTAGATGAAGGACTCATGGCTAAACCATAATATTTCTTATGATCAACCTCAAACTTTCTAAAGTTCACACATGATAAACTTATTATTAAACATCTAGTACTCATTTTATTTCAAAACTTCTATCATCAATGAGATTCTTGTCCCTACAACCTTCCTCATGACATCCTTCTTTTTAACCTACCACCAAGGTCACCAACCACACCATATGCTTGTCGAATAAATCCTTCTTAAATATATATTGTAATACTATTATACTTGATCTCAATTTTAATTGCATAATAAATAGAGTATAAATCTTAAACATATTACGAAAACGATATAAATATTCAGCAATGGGCCATTTGTCATGTTGTTGGACATATTATATTGGGCCTAGAGACATCTCGAGGCTAAGTGCCGTTTCTTTTTTGTTTTTCTCATCGGTTAGGGCCTAGTATTTGCTGGCAAGATTATACTAAAAGTTTCCTCCAATTTCATTTAAGAGTAATTTACAGATTTAGTCCCTTTATTTTACTCAAATTTACAATTTCAGTTTAATATTTGAATTCATCCCAATATGCTCTTTTAAGTGCCGATATAATTCCTGTATTTTACTGAAAATCACATATTTAGTACGAAATTTAAAGTCATTTTATATGTTTCAGGGACTATATCCACACGAAACTGAAACTGAAGCCTAAGGATGATCTAAAAATTCAGATCGAACTTGTGATTTTTCGTAAAGTATAAGGACTAAATTTGTAATTACTCTAATTCAAATGAATAAAACAAAACAAACAAAGAGAAGTACGTGGGTGGGGCCTTGTACTTTCAAATTTTGCTTATTTGAGTTTACTACCCTCAATATTTGCCTATTTCCAGCCAGGCTGAAAAGCAAGAGAGAGAGAAAGAAGGGCTGACGGTGCCGTCTGCGGTGGTGGCATTGTCCGGAAAAATGGCGGATCGCTTAATGCTTGCTTCTGTTTTCGTTTCCTTTGTCGGAGTTATACTCTTCTACGTTTCTTATCTTATTAAAAATGGACGTCCACACAAATCTGCATCGATCACAACAAAATCAACCTCTATCACCACAGAATGCAGATCTGGAGACGAGACCGATGTTATTATCGTCGGCGCCGGTGTTGCTGGTGCTGCTCTCGCTCTTACTCTCGCCAAGGTACAACTTCAGACTTTACTTCTCTTCTCTTCGACTGCTGTCAACGTCGATATCAGATTCTCTTGTTATTGTCTACAGAAATTTGTTTTATACTTGTAAAACAAGCTGAAAATATAAATCAGTCTCGTTTCATAATTAGTCGATTAGTGGAGTTAAGATGCGATCATAAAACCTGAAACCATTTCCTTTTGTTTTTCCAAGTTCCAGCGATAAGTTTGCATTTCGAATTGAATCGAATTTCCATCTGAATGAACGTCCAAAGTAAAGGCGCTGTAATTAGTATAGGAATGTAAATGAACACATATACGTGCACCTATATTCTCCATATGAAAGTAAGCTTTAGATTTTAGATAAACAGAGCGGAATAATCACCATTTATGATAATTGTCTTGCATTTACACAACACAAAAACAAAAGAGAAAAGAATCAATAACTGACCTAATATCCTGCACCCTAAAATCATTCTTCCAGTTTATCAGCTTCCATCTTTGTGGCTTTTTAACAAATTTATGCTTCATAGTTGTTTTCACTTAGTGCTAGTAAGATGATTATTAGTTTATTACCACCTCATACACAATGTAATGTAGGATGGACGCCGTGTACATGTGATTGAAAGAGACCTAACAGAGCCTGATCGAATTGTTGGTGAGCTGCTACAACCAGGTGGTTATCTCAAACTAATGGAACTGGGACTAGAAGGTACTGTTATCAACAATAACTAGACTAGATGCATCATGCTAGAATATTCTGTGATGATCTTACTTTCTCTGTTACCACAGATTGTGTGGAAAATATTGATGCTCAAAGGGTGTTTGGATATGCTCTTTTCAAGGATGGGAAGAACACTCGACTCTCTTATCCATTGGAGAAGTTTCATGCAGATGTTGCTGGCAGAAGCTTTCACAATGGTCGTTTCATACAGAGAATGCGGGAAAAAGCTTCATCACTTCCCACGTATTCTTTCTTTCATTGACTTGTTTTTCACTTTTTACCAACTGTTCCACAATGTTAACCAAACATTCACCTTCTCAATATGTAGTATTCGTTTGGAGCAAGGAACAGTCGTATCTCTTCTTGAAGAAGAAGGTACCATTAAAGGCGCTCTTTACAAGACTAAAAGTGGGAAAGAAATGAAAGCATATGCACCATTAACCATTGTATGTGATGGATGCTTTTCTAATTTGAGGCGCTCTCTTTGCAATCCTCAGGTGATCATATTCTTTACTTGAGTTGACTTTCTCAGGTTGCTTGTAGAGTATAGACTAACCATTAAGTTTGACTTTTGTGTAAATTATAGGTGGATGTGCCTTCTTGTTTTGTTGGTTTAGTCTTGGAAAACTGCCAACTACCATATGAAAACCATGGACATGTAGTTTTAGCAGATCCATCACCTATCTTGTTCTACCGGATTAGTAGTACAGAAATCCGTTGTCTAGTTGATGTTCCAGGTCAAAAAGTGCCCTCAATTTCAAATGGTGATTTGTCAAAGTATCTAAAGAATGTTGTTGCTCCTCAGGTATGATTACAAACATTTCTTTTTTTTCCTTTTCCCTAACTTAAGTAGACTCAGATTGTTCTGAAAATGGGGTATTTAGATCCCTGAGGAGTTGAAAGATGGTTTCATAGCAGCAGTTGAGAAAGGAAACATAAGGACAATGCCAAACAGAAGCATGCCAGCTGCTCCTCAGCCAACTCCAGGTGCTTTGTTAATGGGGGATGCTTTCAACATGCGTCATCCTCTCACTGGTGGTGGAATGACTGTGGCATTGTCTGATATTGTTGTCTTGAGAGACCTCCTTAGACCTCTTCGTGACCTCCATGATTCATATACTCTCTGCAAATATCTCGAGTCCTTTTATACCCTCCGAAAGGTACATATACATATACTCATATACATATACAGATACATATACATATCATCTATTCTATCCTGCAGCCTGTGGCATCCACCATCAATACATTAGCAGGAGCACTATACAAAGTCTTTTGTGCTTCACCTGATAAAGCAAGACAAGAGATGCGAGAAGCATGTTTTGACTATTTAAGCCTTGGAGGTGTATTCTCAAATGGGCCTGTAGCTTTGCTATCGGGCCTAAACCCTAGGCCCATGAGTCTAGTCATACACTTCTTTGCAGTTGCAGTATATGGTGTTGGCCGTTTGTTGCTTCCTTTTCCTTCCCTTAAACGGATGTGGATTGGCGCCAGATTGATTTCGGTATGTATGAATTCAAATCTTTCCAATTATAGCATCCTACTTTGAATTTCTTTCTTATTAGGACATTCTAGTATGCTATAAATATAAAAAACAGATAAATGAAAGTATGTTGCTATTTCTTGCAGGGTGCCTCTGGAATCATATTTCCGATCATAAAGGCGGAAGGAGTTAGACAAATGTTCTTCCCTGCAACAGTGGCTGCATATTACAGAGCTCCTCCTCCACAATGAGAGGTAGTATTCTATAATCAGTGATTGTAGTGTGAGTTTCAAGTTTTCAATTTTTCTTTGATATTTGTTCTTTTTTCTTTTTTTCGATTTTGTTCAAACTCAAAACATGTACAGTTTAGTTTTGTATGTTTAGGAGCGGGAATATAAATGAACATTATTAAATTTTCTTTATTATAACATCTCTTTTTGATTATGAAAATTTACCCAATTTGTGCAGTGTATATTCCAATTTCCTATTATAGTAAAGAAATAAATGAAAGTATATTGCTATTTTGTGGTGTATAAATTCTTTTAGTGGGGGTGGCTTTAAGTTTAAGGAGAAAAGAAAAGAATAAAGACACGTAAGAATGAGGTGGAGATTGTGGTGTTGGTGGGTTAACAAAGAATCCAAATAAAAAACAAGTTAATTAAAATCCAGCTCAACATATTCGATTCTAATTATATTTTTGTGGTTGACAAATAAAGAAAGAGAATAAAAAACAAAATTTATCTTCAACCCATCTTATGTCTTTGTCTTTGTCTTTCCGCATTTGCTTTAATGTATTGTTATTGTTATTTTTGTTTTATTGAATTAGCTAGTAAAGTATTATAATATACAATTAGTTATTACTTAAAGTAATTGATTTTACCATTTATGTTTCTCCCTATTTGAATTCAAGGGAGATTATTCCCCATAATCCTTCTTTCTCTCCTAAAGTCTCTACTTACCTTCCTTGTTTTCTCACCTGCGCGATTAATGGCCTATCACCTTGCTATGAGCATGTTGCAACTGTCAAAGATAGTCCGAAAATAAAATTAATCAATTGAATGCTAACAATGTTAATCAAGAAATTCTGAAATTAAAATGTACAAATCAAGACAAAATAAATAGACAAATCAAGATAAGAACTCTAAGATTTTAATAAATTATGAAATTAAATTGATTAACTGAATGCTAATAATGTTAATCACACACAAGTATTAAAAATCTTATTTCTGTTTGCAAATTTTCTCAAATGATCAATAGAATTTGATGCTTATGATTTTACTGTCAATAATTACATGACCTGACAACCAGAGCTCTGCTATAATAGTGATGATCCGCTTTACCTAGTCATTCAGTCCCGTCTCTACCACAAGTTCATGTCTCCACAAATCCTTTCGTTTGACATCAACGTCTTGGTCACCCCGACAACAAAGTTTTTGATTCTTTAATTTCTAACAATTCAATTTCTTGTAATAAATCTCAATTGAATGTTTTTATGTCAAGCTTGTCAATTTGACAAACATATCAAACTTCCTTTCCATAGATCTAATTCAACTATTAAACATGTATTTAATATTATTTTTTAGAACAACTTAATTTTATTAAGAAAACTAGCAAAAAGCTAGAAAGAAACGTCACAAAAATTGCAAGTAATGGTTTTTAATCCACTTAGCCCGCTTGGCAAAAACTTTAGGGTTCCAATGTACAAACCAATTGAACGAGGTATCCATAATATTATCAAATATCATTTGGCTGGGAAAAACTATCACAAAAACCAAATCGTTCCAGAATCTTCAAATCGACCATAACGTTATGAAAACAATAACTTGATATATATCCTACTTAGAAATCCAACTATGCATCTGTTAAACGATTTGAACACCATTATCCAAACAATGTTAGCCAATTCACAAATAATAAACACATGGTCTGAGGTAGCGACAACCACAAAATAGATGAGACATAAAAGTGACGCCACCTCCACCCCACTTCGTCTTATACACCAATGCGTAGGAAGAAAATACCGTAAATATGCCAAACATGAATATTAATCTTCCTTGGCACACATCGGTTTCATTTAGGTGCATTTGATATTATACAATCAAACATTGGACATCTTCAATTGCTAGTGTAATTGGCTTGACATATTATGTCATATTTTTGGACCATCATACAAAGTACCTTTGAGTTTACCCAATCAACCACAAATCATATTTCTTCTTCAAATCCATTGAATTAACCAAAATCATCCAAACTCAATTTGAAAAAAAAAACCATTAAAATTTTCCAATGCGACAATGGAGAGAGTACAAAAAACAAACAGATTCATGACCATCTTGCCACTCACGTGATCTAATCCCACTTCTCTTATCCACACACATATTATCAAAATGTAAAATTCGAACGAATACTTCATACTATGAACAATATTGTCCAAACACGTCTGTTCCATGCTCACCTCCCCCCACATATCATATAATAAACATAAATAAGGGTATATATAGGCTAATATATAATAATCATGTTGAAATATGTAGTTAATCAGTAATGGGATCAATTACTAAAATTCATATCATGGTTGTCAAAATCGCGATCCTGATCGTAGGATCGTACGATCCTACGATCCTAGATATGAAAAACGAGCCGTATTGTAAACGGATCATATTTGGGGTAGGATTGCAGGTAGGATCGTAAGATCGTAGGTAGGATCGTTTATCATTTTGCACTTTATGTCTTTTATCATTTACCAATTACCGTTTATCATTTTGTGTTGTGACTTATGACTAATATTTTGATATTTTTATAACCTTTGAACGAAAAATTGAATGTTTGAAATATTTTTTATGTTTTAAAATTATAATTTAAAATTATGTTTTATTTTATGGGATCTTAGGATCCCGATCTTGAATATCCAAAAAACGATCCTACGTAGGATCCGATCTTAACAACTTGATTCGTATATTTTAAACATATTAGTTAAATTGGTCCAACAAAAGAATTTATACCATCCATGAATTGTATTTAGTGCATTTTACGACAGGCCCATGTTGGGACTTATGGGCCATCATGAAACTTGGGCTCATCGACGGAGACTTCACCGATCTCACCGATTCCCCTATTTGCAGGAGACGAAGTTTATTTCGCCTTCTTCAATTCCGATGTCAACACGTGGCAATTCCTGGTTTATAGATTGCCACCCAAATAACACTCAAAAATAATACATTACGGTTCCCGGCTATTTTCTTGCTTTGATTCAAATCACTTACCTTCGTGCCTTGCCTGATCATTATCCTCCGAAAATTTCTGAGCCTCATCTTTTGGGGGGTTTCGCTATTGAATCAACAACAACAAAAAAAAAGAAGATTCGTCCTAATCCCCCCTTTCCTTCAAACCATTTCTGTATGTCATCCTCCTTTAATTCCTTTCAATTTCTTTCCTTTATTCTTGTTTTTCCCAACAAAATTGATTATAATTCTGGGTTTCTTCTCAATTACTAATCCCCAATTTTTTTTTTTTTTTTTTTCCAATTTCAAGTTAAAGCTACGCCAACAAATAGGGAAAGCTTAAATGCAATTGCAATTGCGATAACATCTTCATCTTCATCTTCGCACTGCAACTGTTATCTCTGTTCCTGTTCGATAACTTCCTTCCTAACAGGTATAACCTGCATTTTCATTTTCAATTTTTGTATATTCTTTAAATATCCCCATTTAATTATTTAAAATCTTATGTTATGTTGGTGAACAAGTTTGAATTGCGTGGGTATATAACAAATTTAATCTAATCGACTCTTGTAACCCATTTTCTATAGAATACATTTGAAAACTGTTATGTTATTATCAAGGGGGGAAGAAATTTGATAGCCACATTCAACTTTTTCACAAAAGGAAATTGTTGGTGTTAAATTTGTTACAAGATCCATTGATTTTCTTGGTTACTTTCTTATTTCCTTCCCGATTAATCATTATGCAAAATGCGTATCATTCATTTATCCTAAACTTATCATGCATATTGTAAATGGATATATATGTTTTGAATTTTGGATTTAATAACGAATATTATGTTGTTGATGTTGCAGGCAGGGCGTGAGGTTGTTTTTGTAAAAAGTGTGTGTGGTTAATTAGGGGTTAATGGGTTTTGTTATAAGGTTTCCATTTGATGTGGTGGCAGATTTGTAATTAATTAATGCTATTAGGTTGGAGATAGTAGGAGTGAAAGATGGACATACCAGCTTTATTGACTTCGGCTGGTATGAACATAGGGATTTCAGTGGGGATGTTCTCACTATATTCCATATTGAGAAAACAACCACTTAATGTCAACGTTTACTTTGGTCAAAGGATTGCTACTGGTCGAACAAGAAGCGACAATATTTGTTTTGAAAGATTTACACCTTCTGCAAGTTGGATTAAAAAAGCTTGGGATGCATCCGAAGAAGACATCTTTGCTTGTGGGGGTATAGATGCAGTCGTTTTTCTTAGAATCGTTGTTTTTAGGTACATTCTATAATCTATATCTTCCATCATAATTAAATATTTGTACATATATACGTTTTTTCACTTAACATTTACATTTATTTTTGTAGTATTCGTATTTTTGCCATTGCTACCATTCTTTGCACATTTCTTGTGCTTCCATTGAACTATTTTGGGCAAGGAATGGTAAGGCTTGAAGATGCGACAGCAATGGACTTATTGACTATTGGGAATGTCAGGGAAGGGTCAAGATGGTAAATATTCATGCATGCATGCATGCACTTAGTTTTGGACTAAAAAAAAAATCTCAAATCTTTATAAACTAGCTCACCATTTATATGCATTTTCTCAGGCTGTGGGCTCATTGCTTCACTTTGTACGTTGTATCTGCTTGTGCTTGCACACTTCTATACTTTGTAAGGATTGATTCGATACCTTTTTAAGTTCTTTATTTTGGCAGAAATAGAATAATAGTTTTGTAACATGAAGCTATATACATATAGGAGTTTAAAAATGTGGCGAGAATGAGATTGGATCAAGTAAATAGGTTTCCAACAAGGCCAAGTAACTTCACTGTTCTTGTCCGTGGTGTTCCATGGTCTCCAGTAGAATCATATAATGAATCCGTGGGGAAATTCTTCAGCAATTATTATCAATCAAGTTACATTTCCCACCAAGTTGTCTATCGATTTGGTGCTGTTCAGCAACTTATGGTAAAGAGTTTTACTTTTTAGCAACAAACTAGCGACAGAATTTCATACGCTTTATTGTCACTTTCAGGAGGATGCAGAGATGGTATATAACGTGATGACAACTGTTCCAGTTAAGCAATGCTGTGAACCAAATGCAAATCCTGATCGATGTGGGCTTTGTGGAGCAAGATCGAACTCTTTTAAAGTGGTTGGCCATGAACACAAATGCACAGGTCAAAAGGT